TATATGGGCCTATATATAATATTAACAATAATTTCATAATATTAAATTTCCTTATTTCATGATCTTACACTTTTAATGCATTTTTTATATCAATTTCATGATATTAAAGTTTAAGGCAAGTAATGACATTCAGAGAAAAGCAATGTATGTCAGATAGTCAGTAACTGCAGTGCTTTCTTGAAAATAACTCACCACATTACTTTTCCAGCTACTTCTGTATTTCCATCAAAGCATGTGATGACATCCAAAGATAACCAAGGCTTTACAGAAACGCACGTTTTGGTAGTGCATGGGAAAATACTTTCAGCGTTTACCATCTTAACTAATGCAGCATATTAAACTGTCAGGTGTTTCAGGAATCAGAGGCACTGCAAGGACACTTGGAAACGTATCTGTCTTAAAGTTGAGAGGGAGATGGACGAGGCACTGACCTCGGGTCTGAAACTGTGGGGTCTGGTGTATCTACTGAGTCCAGGGCCTCCCCTGGCTGTGACGGAGCCCTTAGCGGCGCCCTGTCCCTGTCCAGGGGCCTCCGGGCCACTCTGCCGCTCTAGGCACCACTCCTGCTCCTCCCTGCGCCCGTACTGTGAGTGAGGAGGGGAGGAAAGGGTCGGGAAGGTGGAGGAGACAGAGGGAGGTGCATGGGGATCGGTGAACGACAAACAGAATCCACACACACACACGAGACGAGAAAGAGTGGAGGGGGAAAATAAAACTCAACGTGGGTTTAAGCCAAACTCAGAGTGTGGAATGCAAGGGTGAGGGGTCATCGACACACTGTATTCAAAAAATGATTATGAATTAAAAAACAATGATCGAATGGAAAACAGAAAGAAAGAAAGAGAGAGCCAGCGGGCTACACGACAAAGAAAAGCGCAAAAAGAAACACCAACTTAAAGATGATGGCGTAGGAGAGAGACGAGAAGAGAACGAGAATGAGGAGGAACAGAATCATGGGCTGAAACATCTGGGGACGAAATGAGGGACGAAGAGAGAAGAAGGGAAGGGCCAAGGGGAAAAAAGAATGCAAAACACTGGTTATGAAGCGCATGCGATGGGGATACATGAGTCTTACAACCAATAACCCAAAATGTGCAGTGACTGAGAGCTGACGCTAATGTGTCGTGCCAAATCCAGGACCAGGTCAAAACCCTAATGCTTAAACCAGTCCACCGGCTTAAAGAACTGTTTGGGGGTGTTTTACTAATACAATTGTAAAATATAGCTCAATTAAAAAAAAAAGCTATTCATTAAAATAAGAATTATAATTGCAATGATTGCAAATAATCAAATTATTTGAATTATTAACTATATATTATTTTTTATTATTTTAATTAAACTTATTTTAATTAATAGCTTAATTAATATTAATATCAATATTAAGTTAATAATTGAAATAATGCATGTAATATATTTCAAAATAATTGTATTATTAGATTAATATTAATATTACAATATTACATGAAACATTCTATTGTTACATAATAAAATAATTAATACTATTATTATTATTAAACTAATAATTAAAATAAAAAAGTTATAAAATAATTATTTTAACTATTAGCTTAATCAGTACAAATATGAATATCAATATTAATATGAATTAAGCTAATAATTACATTTATTATAAAATAAATGTTTATAATACATATTTATTTAAAATACATTTATTATAATTATTAGTTTTATTCATATTAAAGCTAATAATTTAAAATAAAACAATGAAAACATTAAATAGCTAAACAATTAAAAATAATACTAATGTTAATATTAATTATTAAAATAATTAATAATAAGATCATTATTAAGCTAACAATTAGAATAATATATGTACATAAATAGTTATCAAAAAATATTTTAATGATTCAATTTATTCATATTAATATCAAAAACATAACAAAAACTCATTTTAAAATACAAAAATATATAAATAATCATATAAGGATTATTACTGTATATTAAGGATATTAAACTGACTTATTTTAACTGTGACATTTTTGTGACACAATTAATTAAATTTCATTAAGTTACATTTCACAAACAACTCATTCAAAACTTGGATTTAATCAAATAATATTATATAATATAACTAAGAATTGTTTGAGACCATTTCCTGAAAGCAAAACAACTAAAAAACACACACAATTACACACACCACAGGTTAAAATTAAAGTTTGAGCTAGCTTATTAATTAGGTTGCCAAGCTAGTACATTAGTAGATTTCATTATGTTGTTCAGTTGTCAAAAAGTACAGATTTTTGGCATCACAACAGAAAGATACAATGTTACAGTTAATATCCATACAAACCATATTATATTATACTATATAATTACCATTGATGTGTTATAATTGTGATTCCCTGATCAGCGATAACAGAATAATGCTAAAGGCTTTTGGATGAAGCATGACAAACATCTCTAAGGTGTGTAGGACATTGACAGGGTTTGGATGCGGCACGACGGCAGCATGCTGCTCGCAGCGAAGCCCAGCCATGCGATGAAGCAGCGCAACAGCGAGCTGAAGCTCTTAAATAAACATCCTATATAAGCATTCAGGTCTGTCATCATTAACCGGTGCGGGACATCTGACCGTTCATAGAAGTGAGGTGAACAGGCCGTGACTTCATGCTTGATGAAGAGTGTTTAGTGGATGGACTGAAGTGACGTGACCCAACGCAAAGAACCGCCCAGCTTAACCGATGGCTTCCACCAATGAACATGAGCCAAATGAGCTTATCAGCCAATCAGAGAGCAATTCAGACACTTTTAAGCTTAAATTTGAAATATCAAATCACGCTCATATCGACAAGCTGCTAAAACATCAATAGATGTCAAACCCGTAGTTACACATAGGTTATTTGTTGGAAAGTTGACTCATGTTATCATAAAGCAGTTTCAAAGCACAAAGCAGGAAAAAAGCTATAAGCAGTTCAATGGAGGGCAATGCATATATGACAATTAAACATTTGAAAATCATTGAGACAAAAGACACAGCTACATTATTCCTGAGAATGATTAACCACATAAAAGTCACGTAGAATATATAGAGCAACAAACATTGAGTGTATTCAGAGTGCTCACAGGTCACACAGAGCCTCTGGAGGTTACTCAGAAAACAAAAATGCAGTGTAAGCACTTCTTATCCGCCATATTTCATATTAATGGCTGCATGCTCCACATATGTTGCATCAGCATTAACTGTGTAAATAAAAAACTACTAGATTTGGTAAAGGCCAGACCCCAGGTGATGACAAACACATTTTACTGCCATTTTAGTTCATGTTAGTAGGCTATACATCATGCCACATCAGTCGGGTCCAAAATTGACAAGTGCCGGTAAATAAAAATACATAGGAGATCAGTTTAATTCTGATAACCTTATTAAGAAGTGCAACATGTAAATATGAAAATATTAGGATCTAGAACACAATGCATCCTCCTGCTTTTGTCAGAAGTGAAGTTTAAGGCCAGAAACTTTAAGCAAGTATGCGAATGCTGCTGCAAGCGTTTGGCCAGCGGGTGTTATTAGCTTCTAGCAATGCAAGATCGACTTCATCCATTGATGCATTGCAAAATGTGTTGGCACACAATTTAATGCAAGTACGTGCACCATTTATGAGCTCACAGCTGGTTCATGCACTTGTGTTCGTATATATGATGCTGTGAATTACACTATTATTTGTGACAAACATGCATGAAAATTATAAACTAATATTGACTAAGAAATACAAAATACTATTAAAGCTTATTTCTGCCATGGAATAAAAAATAAAAGTAATGGCAACTTTTAAACTCACAATTCTGATTTTCTGAATTCTCATGTATTTCTGAGGAAACTTAGAATTGTGCAGTTCTGAGATGTTAACTTGCAATTATGAGAAGTCAGAATTGTGAAAAGTAAACTCAGAATTCCAAAAAAGAGTCTGAATTGCGAGATGTAAGCTCAGAATTCCAAAAAAAAAAGTCTGAATTGCAGATGTAAGCTCAGAATTAAAAATACGAGTCAGAATTGTGAGATGTAAACTTAGAATTTAAAAAATAAAAAAAACTTGAGAATTGTGAGATGCAAATGTAGAATTCTGAAAAAAAAGAGTCTGAATTGTCAGATATAAACTCGCAATTGTGAAAAAAATTATTTGTGAGATAAACAGTTGTAATTATCTTGTCACATTTTTATTCTGTGGGAAGAAATAAGCTTCAGTAAAATGCACTTTTATGGCTGTAAGATATATTTATGGCTGGCAAATATTTCTCAGTTTGCCCACTATTGGCACAGTAAATTTTGGACCCTGCAAATCAATGACAACCAAAACAATACACATAGCCTTGTGAAGCCATGCGGGAAATACCCCTAAACACCCCCCTGCCCCAGGTGCGAGACAAGGAGATTGTGGGTAAGAGGATGGGGCAGGTATAGATGCAGGTGTTTATGAGCAGCATCAAGAGTGATGCTAGGAAAGGAGAGGTAAGGGCATCTTGGCTGAGCTGGGTGGCGCTCGGGGAAATGTGCATTGCATTGTGGGATATAGTATTCTAGGAGGTGTGCCCTATTGTATACTTTTTGCCCTATTGTATACTTTTTATACACATTTTGGTAAATGTAGTACAACAGGTCATCTGGGTAGTCCATGCATGCAGAAAATTAATGTACATACAGCAAAAATAGCACAAATAATATGGTGTTCTCAAAGAAAAACTGAGTGGTCAGTTAATATTGGTGAGTGAGTGTTGTTCTGTGATGTCTGGTGGACTAGTTCAACTGCCTGCATTTATGCTGAAGGTCATTAATAAATTAAAAAGCACCAAACATCTTTACAACTCTGTGTGTCCTTTTTTGTCTCGTGCTGGTAACACTCCCATTAATCTTTCACGTGGCTCTTTTTTCACACATAACTTGCAACAAAAAAAAGATCAGAAATATCACTGATGTCAAGGCAACTGCATAACCAGTTTGCTAGTCAAATACTCTGCCTACAGCTCCATATCTCAAGCAAGTCTACCTATTTCCCTTCTTATCTCTCAGTTGGGTGTTGTTTCTGGTTTAAGATGAAGAGTCATGCCAGCCAAATTAGTTGAATAGCTTCCTTTGTGGTGCATTCAGGACCTTCGATATATGATACATGAAGATGCAGAATCAATATAAAGGTGTATGCATTCTCAAAAAAGGACTTTCAAATGAGGAAGCAGCAAAGGAAAAAAGGAAGTTGCCATGTCATGTGATCGCATGTGATGGCAAACTCTGAATAAAGATGAAAAGGTCGAGTTACACATAACCTACCTGGAAGTCCGTCACCAGATCCCTTCCCAGTGTCCCAATAGGCGAGTCCCTTGACATGGAGGTAACCGTGGAAAGGAAGCTGCTAGATTCGGTGAGGTTGGGCATGGGGGAAAGGTCATCAACGCGGTCCCTTAGACCCTCCCCTAGGTGGTCCACTTTGTCCATGAATTGCTGGAGTTCCGAACGGAAAGCCCTCATGCGGGTGTTGATGGAATCCAGCACCTGAGAGTCAGGTTTAGATTCAGCAGAGCCCCCATCGCCTCTGAACTCCAATCCTTCTGCAAGAAGTTCCCCTCCCAGGACAACCAGTCGACCTTCGCGGATCAGACTGTCCGTATCCACGATGAGGCGCTCCACCATTTTACCAAGCCGCTCAGCTTCACGCCTGACATTGTTGAGCGTCTCCCGGTCTTCCTGTCTTCGCTGGGCCAACTCGGCCACTCCCAGTTCACCAGGATCTGAGGCTTTCTCGCCACTGACAAATCCAGAAGTTGCTGTTTTTTCAAACAAGTCATCAGAGTCGCTTTCCCCACCAACAGGACCTTCACGTTTGGGGTGGAGCAGCAGAAGCCTGGCCATCTCGTCCTCGTCTGCTTCCCTTCGCCCGGCATCACTATCCACATCACTATCCCTTGGGCTACTGGTGTGTATCCCCAAGTTTGCCACCAGGTCACAGCGTTGCATGTTAGAGATTAGCACCCGGTTCTCGTACTGCAGCTTCATCACTTTCCCACTTAGCTCGTTGATCTGGAGTCTTGCGGTTTTTAGCTCCTCCTGCAATGTGGCACCACTCCCTGTTCCATAACCTCCTCCGTTACCAGGTTTGAGCGTGCCACCATTTCCACCCTCGGCTCCCTCGGACTCCCGGTCGGCTTGGCTGGGTCCAAATTTGAAGCGGTTGAGCTCAGACGTCAGTTGCTTGTTGTGGTCCTCAATCTCAGAGATGGAGCGCCGCAGCAGCTCCGCCTCCTCTTCTACAAATTGCAAGTGTCGCCGCAGTTCACTCGCAGATTCCAGGGCATCGCCACCATACGGTGAGGTAGGGACACTCGAGAAGGGTTCGCGCCCAAAGCAGTCTCTCTCGTATTGGCAGCGTAGGTCTTCGTTTTCCGCCCTGAGGCCGCGGTTTTCCACCTCCAGCTCTACGATCTTCCTTCCCAGAATGTTGGCTTCCTCTTCCACCAGTTTGAGCCGTAACCGCAACTCGGCTTCCCGAGAGGTGTGGGGGCCTCCACCGGTCACCTCCGCCAGGGGCAAAGGGCTGTCCACATCGCCGTATACTGATTTATACTTCTGCAATTCTTGTTCCAATTCATCCTTCTCACGGCCAAGTTTTGCCATCTTTTTACGCATAAGAGACGATTCTTCCTTGGCAAACTGTAGCTGACAGCGCAGATCTGCACTGTCCTCCTGGAGAGAAAGAAACATGTGAATGTAAAAGGCAATACCATTTATTTCAAAATGGCCAAATTGTATAAGAATAATCAGCCTGGACAACATATAAAAAGTCTTGAGGTTCTGTAGTCTATTTTCTCAACAAGTAGTGCATGTAGCATATTGTATTGCTCTGTGCATGCTTTAAAATAAATGTTTCCAAGGGGAGGTTTCGAAGCCATGCCATAGAAGAACCATTTTGGGTTCCCCAAAGAACCTTTCAGTGAACAGTTCATAAAATGACCATTTCTTTATGTGAATAACTTAATCTAAAGAACCTTTTTCAACTATAAAGAATGTTTTATACACTGTAAAATGTATGAATGGAACTACAGATGTCAATAAAGAACCTTTATTTTTAACAGTGTATAAGGCTTGTGAATTGATCTTTGTATTTCTTTGTACACACCTGAGTTAAAGATTTCTTATCTTTGAAGGTCTCTCTACTGCCTCGCCTCCGCAGAGCAGTCTGAAAGACAAATAGAGGACAGGGCATATTAACAAAAATGTGAAAGTTAGCGACTTCATTTCAGTTACCAGGCACACAGAAGGATAAAAAAAACAAAAAACATTTTGAATAATTAAAAAACAGCATCTGATTTGAACACAGCATCAATCATGAATATCAGGCTTAAAGGGATACTCCACCCCAAAATGAAAATTTTGTCATTAATCACTTACCCCCATGTCGTTCCAAACCCCTAAAAGCTTAGTTCATCTTCGGAACACAATTTAAGATATTTTGGATGAAAACCGGGAGGCTTGTGACTGTCCCATTGACTGCTTAGTAAATTACACTATCAAGGTCCAGAAAAGTATGAAAGACATTGTCAAAATAGTCCTTCTGCCATCAGTGGTGATGAGAAGCGACGAGAATACTTTTTGTACGCAAAGAAAACAAAAATAACGACTTTTATTCAACAATTCATCTCCTCTGTGTCTCTCCGCATCATGATGCGTTACGAAGTACGTTACGGTTGAACCACTGATGGCAGATGGACTATTCTGACGATGTAATTCATACTTTTCTGGACCTTGACAGTAGGGCTGCACAATTAATCGAATTTCTAATCGCGATTACAATTATGGATGCCACAATTACGTAATCGTTCAAAGCGGCAATTAATCGTTCAAAGTCCACTTATGTTATTTTGCACACTTAATATGATACGATTGTTTTAGTTTTAGTATAACATTATAATACCATTCATATTTTTACTTTTTTTATAATTTAAAGAAGAAACCAATCCGATCTATATTTGACATTTGAGGCTTAATACTATAGAAAAGCAATAAAGATTTTTCAGTTAGAGTGTTTACAGCTTGTTTATTTTCATATAAAAATACGGCATGCAGTTGCATCAAACAATGGTATAAAC